AGGACATAACGACCCTGGTCACAAGAGAATTGTGAATTGTCAGTTATTCTCTGTGCTTAGTGATCTATCTGTCCGTCTCACTGTCTGTCTGTCTGTCCACCTGCCTGTCATTTCCCAGTTCATCTATATGTATCTATATATATGTGTGTGTATTTGTGAGTTTATGTATCTGTGTGCATGTATGGACGCACGTATTTTTGTGTGATTGTATATATATATATATATATATATATATATATATATATATATATATATATATATATATATATATATATATATACACACACATATATAAAAATATATATATATATATATATATATATATATATATATATATATGTGTGTGTGTGTGTGTCTGTGTGTTTATATGTGTGTGCATGTTTATATGAATATATATGTGTGTGTGCTTTATGTGTGCTTGTGAGAATGTGTTTATATATGTATGTGTATGTGTCTGTCTCTATGTATGTACAATCATAAAGGGCCCTGACACATAGAAAACATTAGGGAAAGGAAGCCCCAACCCCCTTATAAATTTGCAAAAGGGACGTATGTGTAAATATGTTTGTGCATCTTTATATTAATACAAATTATGTGTTTGTGAGAGTGTGTATATATATGTGTATGTGTGGATATGTTTGTATGTGTATGTCTGTCTCTGTGTATGTATAATCATAAGTGGCGCCGAAACATGGGAATCATTGGGAAAGGGGAGCCTTAACCTCCTCATAAATTTTCAAAAGGGGCAGTTCGGTCGAAGAGCAAATGTCTTGTTTAAATGCACATTATTTTTTTAATGTCATATTAATATAGTAATGGACTGAAAAGAAAATAATTACAAACAAAAATATGAAATAACTTGAAACGTATAAACACAAACTTATTAATAGAACTTATATACATGATTGGTGGAGTCGGGGCCTTAACCCTTTTACAAAATTGTTTCTGGGAAGGAGAGGGGTTGGGCTCAGCCCCTCTTAAAAAGAATGTTGGGGTGGGGTGGGGGGGGGGGGGTTTGTGGACCCTTAATGCGACTAAGCCCCAAGTTCCGGCACCCCTAGTATGCATCCATTTGTCTAGACAGCTATGCAGTTACATCAAAGCCTGCTGCCTGTCTATTTATCTTTCCTGACTGTTTATCTTTCCTGTCTATTTTTCTGAGTGTTTATTTTTCCTGTCTGTTTCGCCTGCTGCTTATCTCCAAGTCAGTTATGTATCTCAATAACTTACTTACTTCCTCGCTTCCCTTCTACCTTGCGATGTAGAGGTTTGCCGGAGAGATCGTCAAGCTTCTCTACCAGCAATTTTCTTTTTAGCCAGTTCATTTTTCTCTCTTTGATAACTAATCGTGGTTTGAGACAAACAGATGATGGGCCTGTTGTGCCTTTGCATGGTGGAGGAGTTATCTCCTTGAGGCCTCCATTCCTGCCGTCTGGCTCATTCATGTTCCCCACTACTTCCGGCGACGCATGAAGCACTCAGCTTCAGCCAGACCCTCCTCCTTTTGAGGTCGGGCTAGAGACTGGTCTTAGCGGAGGTATCTCAATTGCACAATCATTTAAAGTACCTTGACAGTTCCAACGCTCTCGTCGTCGATCCTGGTCGGGGACAGACTGAGTGAGGTCACATTGAGGCCAGCAAAAGCGAAGATGATGTGAGAGCAGAGACTGGCGTCCAGGTCGTGCAGACAAAAGTAAGCTTCTTTGACCAGGAGATCACATGACCAGTTGGTGAAGTAGCACACACGACGTAGTTGCTGCTGGTGGCTGGAGCTGATGGCTGGTTAGTACAGACAGGGACAGAATATTAGCCTAACTGACGACTGGACATTATAGATGAAGTAAAACAGTATATCAAAATTTTAACATGCACACACAAAAGCATCTGATAAATGCATCTATTCGTACCAACTTTGGTGCTATCAATGCCAGTCCTTGAAAAACATAAATGCAAAATTGCAAGGTATGTGATTAAATGTATAAGAAATGTTGGGGATAAACAAGAAGAGACAGCGTCACCAATGACTGATAAGTGCTCTATTCGTACCAACTGTGTTCTATCAATGCCAAACAGTGACAGTCCTCGAAAAACAAACGCAAAATTACAACCTGTGAGATGAAATGCATAAGAAATGGGGCGGGAAAAGCAAGAAGCGACATTGTCGCCAACGAAGAATTGAGAACAATGATGGAAACATTATGATTTTATAGAACATCAAAGAATCAAATGGTATGGTCATCTGGTCAGAATGGAACAAACGCAGTCAGCAGGTAAAGCGTACTGCATGAGAAAAACAGGCTGCAAAGTCAATAGGCAGACCAATAAAGACATAGGTAGAGAAAGAGTAAAAGAGACACTACAGAAACACAGTATAAAATTCAGACAGCTTGCCAAAGACAGGAAACTACATCTGACTTCTCTCGGTAGCGCTTTACGGCATAAGTAGGAACACAAAAGAAAAAGATGATGGAAGAAAAACAAACGGTGAGCTTCGTTTTACAGACGACTATATTATAGACAGGTACTGATTAGTTATACATTAAATGTCGGTTCAGCAGATGAATCGATAATGTAGGTGAAGAAAGACTTGTAGCCAATATAATATACTAAAGAGACATTTTACATACAATGACAGATTACTAACAATAATTATTGTCTCTGCAACAAGTGGCTAGAAATTATTATACAGACTATTTAATAACTGACTGTGTAAGAATTAATCCGAATTACCATTAGGCTACCAAACATGGACACTATCTAAAGCCCATATACGCAAAATCACAACCTGCGAGATAATTGACAAATTACAATTCCTTCAGCAACTCTTGGTGCTGTCATATGCCTTATGCATTTACTGTATGTGCAGGTTTTCGGGTTCTGGTTAGAATACATGTTTTGTCAATTACTTTTTGAATTGGACGCTGAGAAGCATTTCATGTGATTTCAATGGGCACAGGAATGGAGTTTTAATGGGTGGAATATTTGCAATGAAGCTGAAACATTAACTATCAATTACAGATATATATTTTTTTAAAGCAATGAAGAGAACATCATAGGTGGATAAAAAGGTAATAAAGATGTCTTCAAAGAAATCAGCTCACAAAGAGAATCAGCTCACAAAGAGAATCAGCTCACCAAGTAAATCCACACTCTTGAGGTGACATATAAAGGGGACAGGGGTGAACCAACTAGCCCTGCTAAAAAATGCACAATAGTGACTTTTGATAAGTTTAATGGTATTGTTATTTCATGTGAGGCTTGGTGCTTAGTGTGGAAAGACTGGCAATGTCTCTATGAGAGAGGGATCCTTGGCATTTTTTACTGTTGTATGCCAGATATTAACAAACACATTGTCCTCCGTACCACACCTGCAAACAATGGAATATCCTACAATACTACACCATGCTGACATGGCCCTGCTCCTGAAAACTGATTATATACTTGCACAACGTATAGATGGTTTATAGGCTGTATCTATATACAGGCAACCGGGACATTATAGTATATAGATGTGTATAACTGTTATGTAACTACATAGTGTGCTATTTGTTCTTCTTCAATCCCTATGTCAGAAAACTTATTTCAGGAAGCCGATATCCCTGATGAAAGCTACCCGTGCAGTCCAAATCTCCCGTATGCCACACAACTTTGTTTTGACTAAGCTCGGCGCAGGCCAGATGGTCTCTCGTGTTAGCAGCAGAGTCTACACTATTGTAAGCACATGCACAGCATTTCCAGGTGGCAAGTTACAAATATACATGTCTCCTTGTTTCTGATATTAAACACTTGAAAATATATTGGTAGAGTCGTGCCTTGTCAGTCTAAATATCATACACTGTCCCTCCTTTGAGAGGTGATGAATCAAGTCTTGGGGTGACAATTTGGTGTGCTTAACCAGCAGCCTTTCTTGGTTTCTAGTTGAAAGGTTGTATTGTGTGTCAAATACGATGTCTGATTGTGACTAAACCAAAGATGGTCAGATAGATCTATGACAAACTGACGACACTGCATGTGTTTATTCCTGAACAGTTTAGTGAGTTTGAACCGATACCATCTGTCAGTGCTGTATACAAGTGACAGTTCCTATTGAATTTAACGTAATTTAACGAGTAGTTTTGTAAAATTTAGTTACACATCCTTTCATCATTACTCATCTTCAGAGGATTTGAATGATGAGTATGATAATAATAACTGGATAAAAGTTGCTTAGTATTAAGTGACGAAAAAATGCGTATTACATGTTTCTGAATACCATGGTTCTCAACAAGGCAAATCTGCGAAGCATCCACACACTACTAAAGAAATGTCAGATCCACTTGGAGAATATTCCAGTTTATCAGCTTCCAAAGAAAATATTTTATGGTGAACTCCAGCATGGAAAATGATCCACATGCAAACAGAAAACGAAATGCTACAAGGACTCTTAAAACGGCTCTCAGATCTGTTGGCATCAAGACAAAAAAGTGAGGCTGTTACACAAGACATATCTCATGGCATACTAAAAATGGTGCATCAGCCAGCCTACCAGGCAGCAGAGGTTACACTGGAAGAGAAATGGAGGCAGACCAGAAAGAGCCATGTGGAAAATCCCACCCAACTGTTGCCGAAATTCGTTGTCCACACTGCTCAAGAATGTTCCACGCTCCAACAGGACCTATCAGTCATCTTTGTACTCACGATCATTGACCATTATTAGGTTTGCAAGAAAAACGGTCTTTATTACTTGTGAATAAACCAAAACATATCCTTAACACGGCATAGCAAACCAACCAAATTCAGCATTTGTTGAAGAACAAAAACTCAAAGTGGTCTGCTGTCAAATCACCTGCAGCTGAAGCGAACTAATGGTAATGAAATTATGCAACTGTCTTAATAACTATAAAACTTGAGAAACTAGTGTATAATAATATCCTATGTAAACTAAATAATAAAAACAGTTGCCAAAATTGAAAATGATCGGTAAAGCTTACACAAATCTTAGCAATCTTTCCTGCAGTAGGAAGACCCCCCCTCCCCCTACCCCTCCCCCAAAAGAAACCTCTAGCTTCTAAATTTCAACTGGCAAATACTGTTTCTGTGCAGCTATCAAGCGTAAAGCAGGCCTTTTTCGACAGGTGGCTTGTAGGGCATAGCAATTCGCCTACAGATAACTGCCACTCGTTTTGTATTAATGCATCAAAAGTCGTCCCTATATGGGATGCAACTTTTTATTTGAAGCCCCACTCTGGCTTTTGCTGGGTGCCCTGAATTTGGCTGTGCCATAGATATGGCCTAACGGCTGAAATGGGCTTCTGCCCTATCATTTATCAGTATTCCACCAAGATGTGCAGAGCCAGCCAGTCTGTACGCCTGTTCATTTCACAACACACCGGCGTGATCCGGTGAAAAAATCCAGACAATACTCCTCACTCGTGTCCTCCGCAGCAAAGCATGCCGCTCTGCTTGAAGCATACCTGTTCTGATCTTCCTCAGCATGCTTTCTGAATCAGTTACAATCACGATGTGTGTGTCGTGTTCTCTAGCCAGCCATTCTTAAGCTGGATGTTGTGGTATCATTTGCTAGGCTCTCCTGCACCAAACATCGACCATTAACGTTTGCTAAGAAGCCCCGAGCACTTTTTTTGCCTCTTGACACTGAACCGTCTGTGTAAATGATCAAATCCTCTGAACGAGCATTATCTTGAATTAATTGCTGAATTTCCACCTCTGTGGTACCTTCTGACCAGTCTCTGCATTCCCGGCTCAGCGTGATTATGACTCTACACAGGTCTGACTGCTCAGGTGGCACTTTGACCCACTCTTTTCCTCGCCTAATGTTCTCAAGGATGCAAACCTGTTTGATTGTTCTTCTGTCTGAGCCATCCATGACCTCCCTCTTATCAGCCGCTGACCCTTAACTGCACCCAGAGCTTCATGCAGAGGGTGGTCTGTGTCTGCAGCTACCCTGAGATATGACTTCACCTGCAGCACCTTGTGCCTACCTGCAACCGTCGGCAAACCAAGGATGTATCGCATACACACTACTGGGGTGTCTCTAGTGCAACCCAGAATGACTCGCGTTCTGTATGCGCTCTAGTTTGTCCATCTAACTCTTTGAGACGGTAAGCAGTCCCAGGCCATAATCCACCACTGACAGGATCAGGTGCTGTCATATTGTGAAAAGCATTCTCTGCTCTATGTCAATTGCAGCCATAGTCTTAAGTGCACTAAGTCATTTTTGGCATCTCGTCACAACACTCTCCACATGTCCTTAAATTACAGGCTCCTGTCAAATGTAATTCCTAGATACTTCAGTTTGCTCTCTCCGTTGACGTCTCTAACACCTATCGTGAGACTTGGGATATTAGTTTTAACGATTCTGTTGTCCAGAGAACACGACAAAACAGACGCCTTTTCGGGGTGGACGACAGCCCTCGTTTCTGTACACCACTCAGTCACTTTTCCTACTGTCGCTTGTAGCTCAAGAGCTGTTTGTTCCCTCTCTTCACCCTGCCTATATGCAAGTATATTATCCGCAAAAGTGAGTATTCTTCCAACTCCTGGTGCTTCTAGGCTTGCAATCTTGCTCGTATACACCTTGAAGAGCACAGTCGAGATGGCGGATCCCTGTTGCAGTCCTGGGGCCAACGTGCATGGCTCAGAGGTCCATGAGCCCAGTCGAAGAGCAATCCGACGTGAATACAGGACAGCTGCAACCCAATTCACCAGCAATGGATTGACCTCCTTCTCCAGATTCTAACCTTCCCCAATGGGCGCAGAGCACTATGGCTCTATCAAAG